ACAACAGTGCATGCAAGAGGAGTCACCTATAGGTCCTACCAATACACTTGCTAAAAATAGCTGTAAAACCACTTGGGGTAGTGTAAGGTTGGATGGTTCACCCCCACAACCTTCCCTTTAAATACTCTTTCCCTACCATGTGTTTCCTTACGCTCTTCTACTCCCCATTTTTTTCCTTTGGTTCCCACACAAACAACAGAGCTCTCTCTCTCTCTCTCTCTCTCTCTCTCTCTCTCTCTCTCTCTCGGGGTGGGTGACTGCATGCTTGTATCAGAGCATATCTTCGAAGAAATGGAAGAGAAGAAAAACTCACCACCTCATGGCTTGCTCAAACAAAACAACATGATCCTCAGATTTCTCATGGTCCTACTCTCTAGTTGTGTTATTAACAGGAATTACCTTTGCTCTACCCATCCTATGGTCACCCCTACAGTTTCTCCTCACTCTGGTTCCTCAAATATTACAGCATCACTGGAAGCATTGAGACTTGATGGGCATCTTAGCTTCGACAACATGCACCATGCAGCCAAGGACTTTGGCAACAGACACCACTTTCTTCCTTCAGCAGTTCTACACCCAAAATCGGTTTCTGATATTTCCTCCACCATAAAACATATTTTTGAAATGGGCACCACTACAGGGCTCACAGTGGCCGCCAGGGGCCATGGCCACTCGCTAGAAGGTCAAGCACAAGCCTATCACGGAGTTGTCATCAATATGGAATCACTTCAAGCACCAGACATGTATTTTCACATTGGGGAACTGCCTTATGTAGATGCCTCTGGTGGTGAACTGTGGATAAACCTTCTGCATGAAAGTGTTAAACATGGCCTCACGCCAAAATCTTGGACAGATTATCTTCATCTCACTGTGGGAGGCACTTTGTCTAATGCCGGAATCAGTGGGCAGGCATTCCGGCACGGTCCCCAGATCAATAACGTCTACCAGCTAGAGGTGGTCACAGGTACGTTCATTTCATTCAAATCATTTTTATTTCCTCTGATGCACAATTTACTGTCAACAAAGAGAGAAACTAGTTTTGTAACTCAAATGTTTCGTATTCATGTAAAGTGACTCTTGTAGCGTCGAGACCTTGGCCGTAAAATGAACTCAACCTTGTTATAATACTGTACAGTAGAATCATCACTTAAGATATTAAACTTACTTCTAGACAGAGGATATAAGAGATTACTACTTTTTTTTGGAGTGCAGGAACAGGGGAGGTGGTCACCTGTTCAGAGAAGAAGAATGCTGACCTCTTCTACGGTGTTCTAGGCGGACTAGGACAGTTTGGCATCATCACCCGGGCAAGAATTTCTCTAGAACCGGCACCTATGATGGTAAAGTAACTTCCCATTGTTCATTAATGGAAAACCCCAAGCCCCGGGCCAAAGAAAAGAATCCAAGTCACCACAAGAATTATTTTACAGTTTTGTTAATCACTTTTGACAGGTGAAGTGGATTAGAGTGCTCTACACAGATTTTTTCTTATTTTCCAAGGACCAAGAGCATCTAATATCGTCCAAGAATTCTTTTGACTATATAGAAGGATTTGTCATCATAAATAGAACTGGTTTATTAAACAACTGGAGATCATCTTTCAATCCAAAAGACCCAGTTCAAGCCAGCCAGTTCAATTCTGAAGGCAGAACTCTTTTCTGTCTAGAAATTGCCAAATACTTCAATCCAGAAGAGACTAATTTTATGACCCAGGTGAGACTTGTTAGTTCATATCATGCTTAACTTTGCACAATGTTCACTTGAAAGTGCCCACTTCTTGACCTCTCTCCCTCTAATATGCAGAAAGTAGACAGCTTATTGTCAGAATTGAGTTACATTAAGTCCACACTCCTCTTGTCTGAAGTCTCATATGTAGAATTCCTGGATAGAGTGCATGTTTCCGAGCTGAAACTCCGAGAAATGGGGTTGTGGGAGGTTCCACACCCATGGCTGAATCTGCTCATTCCCAAAAGTAGAATTCATGACTTCGCCAATGAAGTTTTTGGAAACATTCTTACAGATACAAGCACTGGTCCTATACTTATCTACCCGGTTGACAAATCCAAGTAATAGTTCACTAAATCTGATCTCTTAACAACCTCAAATATATGGTGTTACCTCAACCTGAATTTCGCTCATCTTTGTAATGCAGGTGGAACAATAGGACATCTATGGTAACCCCTGAGGAAGATGTTTTCTACCTAGTCGCATTCCTATCTTCTGCAATGCCATTTTCCAAAGGAACAGATGGTTTAGAACACATTTTAAACCAAAACAAAAGAATTCTGGATTTCTGTAAATCGGCCAATCTTGGTATGAAGCAATACTTGCCCCATTACATCACTAGGGAAGATTGGAAAACTCATTTCGGCACTCAATGGGAAGTCTTTGTTATGAGGAAATCCACCTATGACCCTTTGGCAATCCTAGCTCCTGGCCAGAGAATTTTTCAAAAAGCCCGAAGGAGTTTCAGTGACATTGGTCTCCAGAATAACCAACATAATATACAGAGCTCTAAAGGAAGATAGATCAAAAGCCATAAAGCTTAGAACTGTACATTATTTATATCATTTTTGTATTTCCGCGCGTACTTAAGAATAGGAAAAAAGAAAGAGCAGTTATGCTGTCTGCTTTTCACATAATCTTATTCATAAATAACAACACTAATCACCCAATAAAGAAGGTATTTCAATTAAGTTATCCAAACATTAATTTGTACAAATAAACTAGAAAAAGAAGAGCCTCAAGCATAAAAATAAATCAGTACAACTTATTCATTGACTCAAGCAGTCAGAACTAAGAAATTGCTCAAAAGTTAATAAGCACAAGCCACACAATTAAGCTGCATAAAATGAGTTGAAGCCTAAGAAAGCAAGAAGCATTAGACTACTGATAAACTATTCAATTGTGATTAGACTTAAATGACTGGTTGTTGGGATCTAGGCCATAATCCGCATGGGACCAATTGTTCTTTGTAGAATAATTTTATCAAGGACAATTGTTATAGTGAAAAGTGATACTGCTTAGCCAAAAGGTGTCATGATTAAAACCATTATTGTTTGGGTCTCCTCTATGCCACTGGTTTTAAAATTTTGTGTTTTTTTTTCAGTTTTCTTTACTGCAACAATATTGCGGGATTCAAAGCCTCACTGTGGTTCAAACCCATTGCAGTATTTACTGGAACCAAACATCATCAAAGGGTGGTTATATATTTATCTTTTTTAAGGGTGGGTATAAGAAGACAGACAAGTATGTGCAATAGAACTGCTTGAAAATTTGGATATTGTATTCTCAAAATTTGAGCAGTTCTCCGGTCGATTAATCTATTTATTAATTAATTTTCTAAATGTTGTCCGTAATATTTTTCATCTGACATAGCCACAGAAATATGTTCTATTAATGCTTCTAAAACGGAAAACCAGACTGGCATTGATTATTCGACTTGGAAAAAGAAGAGTGTCTTGTTTATTCACACATGAAAGAGCATATTACGTGGCCATTACCAAAAAACTTTTACGACAGATGATACTTCTAAGAGAAAAATTGAGAATTGGGAGTAGGGAGTAGGGCAACGAACTTCCTAAAGCCGCTCTTTTGAATCACATGCAATATGGTTTAATTCTGTTGTTTGAGGACATGAAAATTGCCAAGACTTGAGATAAGTATGGGAGGCAAATCAGACACATGCAAACAGCTTTTGCTTGAAAACTTAATGGCCTAACAATTACAGAGGATTCGAGCCAGGTGAATCATGTGAATCATATGGCTCCTATTCTAAGGATTTGTCACTAGCAAATCCTTTTTGTTTTTTTTTTCACTGGCAAATCCTTACTAGCGCGTTTCATCTAGGGATTTTCTAGTCACTCGTATAAATTGTTTGCGTCAAAACTTGAGCATGGATTCATCCTGTCATACTAGCACTTGAGGAGGAAAGAAAAATTGGTACCATAGAGCTAAGAGGCTAAGGAAAGGAAAAGGAGAGTAATTTAAGCATGGAAAGGAAAGGAAAGCCAAGAGAGAAGCACACTTCTGTCAACAAGAATTGAGCTCTATATAAGGCAAAGCTAAGAAGGCATAAATATGAACCCAATAACATGGATTGGTGGATCAACTCTAGTGTTGGATATTCGACCAAAGTCAGACTAGGCATTCCAGGACGCGTTCTGTAGTGTGGACTATATCTGCTTGGTTAATCACTTCTTAAACAATTATAATTTTAACATGTGAGCTAAATGCTATGCAAAGAAACTTTCAGAGTGCAGAAGAAGCATAGATAGGAAAAAGATGTGGCATTCCAGAAAAAATCTCTCAGGAGTACAAAAGAGAACAACAAATTACCAGGACACAATTCCAACATCAACAAAATCTAAAGAACTCCATGTAAACAACTGATCAGACAACTTGAGAATATTAACTAGAATATCTTCACAAATTTATGAATTTTCATATTTTCTTTTTCAAAAATTTAAGAAAAGAAAAACATCAAACATTTTGCCCTTATGTAAATATCTTAACAAAAAACGATTTGAGAATGTCAAAACTGACATTAAATAGCAACATCACTGCCAAACTTATCGAGCAGACGGTGCCTGAGCATGTTCCAGAAGCTGACTAACTAGTTTGTAAGTGCGCCCAGAGAGTGCCTTAGTGTGGTCAATAAGCTGCTCATACCTGAAAAGAAGAAGAAAAAAATTGATTTGGAGGAATGTATGAAAAAAGTGTTAAAAGAAAACAAAAATGGCATATAGAAAAAAGGTCAAAAATAATAAAAAAACAAATGTGTCGTAAGAAATGTCAGTAGATAGAATGTTAATCTGTTTCAGCAACTCACACGTTGGGGTGATTAGGTTCCATCACAATGGTTCCTGTCTTAGAATCAATCTTAGCATCAAGCTTGGAGGTTTGGATAAGATTCACAATCCATCTCTCTGCCTCCTCATAATTCAAATTTAGTTTCTCTGCAAGCACACTGTCGAAAAGAAAAACATGAAAATATTTAGACAGTAACAGATACTAATAAAACATTTACACATTAAAATCTTATAACCGAATTATTTTCTCGTGGTTCTCTAGAGGAAAAAAAAAGTGAAAATTGAAAGTAAGTCCCCCTAAAAATACTTGTTTGGAGATAAGTTCTGTAAGGAAATTTATAAGGGGTTAAGTCCATATTTAAAATTATATGTAATGACTTAAGTCCACTTTTTTTGTTTATCTCAAAAATACACTTCCTTGAAAGGAAGTTAATCTTTTCTCTCTCATATTTATCTATATCCATATATAGATTAAGAGTTTGACTAACATTAAAAATTTTCCTCTCTTATCTATCTATATCCACACACACAAATATATATATAGTAACATTCAAAAAAATAGTAACATTCAAATACAAAAAAAAATTACTATGAATTTGAATAGTAAAATTTAAATTCATGTTACTATTTTTTTTATTATGTTATTGTTTATGTTACTGCTTTTGTTGAGTATGTTACTGTTCATGTACTATTATTTTTGAATATGTTACTATTTTTGTTGAGCATGTTCTTACTATTATTTTCCTAAATATTAATATTCAATGCTATTATTATTTTTTTTTGAATATTACTATTTTTTGTATTTGAATGGTACAATTTTTTGCATTTGAATTTGAAAGAAATAATTATTATTAAGTATGTTACAGTTTTTATTAACCATGTTATTATTTTTTGTTGAACATGTTACTATTGTTATTTTTTAAAAATATTAATATTGAAAGTTTCAATTTCTTTTAAATGTTACTATTTTTTTGTGTTTAAATGTATTATTTTTTGTTTCCAAATGATAGCTTTTTTTTGTATTTGAATGTTACTATTTTTTATTTTTAATGTTATTATATATATATATATATATAAGAGGAAAAATTTTAATGTTAGTCAAACTCTTAACTTATATATGGATATAGATAGATATGAGAGAAAAAAGATTTAATGTTTGTCAAACTCCCAAGATTTAGGAGTTTTTAATTTTTAGTTTTATTTCACTTCTAAAGGGAAGGAATAGTATGGTAAAATTGCCAAAAAACGGACTTCATAACATAAAAGTTTCCTTGACGGACTTAAGTCCAAACAAGTCCATATAAGGGACCGGCCTCCAAATTTTCCAAAAAAAAAAAAGGAATTTAAACAGGAAAGGACAGAAATTTCAGCTATTGAATACAGGTTTCAAAAAATCCTATTCCCCATATGTAAAATCCTGAACTTTCTGCTATCCTAAAAAAAATGTACAGTTGCATGACCAATCAGAAAGAGAGTCAAAGAAAGCAGACAGAAACAAAAGTTAAAGATCAGCACATGTAGAAAAGTGAATTTGGATAATAAGTCTTGGTGTTACCCCAAACAAGCCATAGTAAAGCAAGGTATTAATTGTTGAGAATTAAAAATTCACAGAAAAGATGATGAGTACAACTTTGAAGAGTAGTTACATACCCCATGTCAATGCGCTGATGAATTCGGCAGTAGGTCTCAAAAATGAAAAGACGTGCATTTTCAAGGAACTCATCCCTCAATGGAACAGATGAAAAGTTGCCTTCTTCGGCTCGTTTTCCAAGGAATGGATCATTCAGTATTACCTGCATTGTAAAACCCATGTTCAACAGGCATCATATACAAGTTACTGGGAAAGCACTAAAGGATGTAAAATAACCATCCCAAGACAGGACTAAAATGGACTTATTTAGAAAACTAGTCAAAATCACAAATTATGCACATGTTAAATTAAGACACCTATTTGATCCAAAAAAAAAATTAAGACGCCTATAATCTTTTAATTAAAACACTCAATCCTTCATGATTAGTGCCCAACATCCCTTTGTAAACTATAAAAGCCTTTGAAACTAAGTTATGATTTGAGGAAAAAAGAAGCAACATCAAAATCTTATTGACTACAAACAAGGGTTGGTTTCAGCATGACCAAAAATAATAATAGGTTTCCAGTGTATTGGAAATATAGGTTCTCCAAATCATTGGCCTTTTTATATGCTGACTATACAGTGTTATTAAAAGTGCACCTGGGAGATCAAAAAAATTAAGAACAGGTTTCCTATGTAATGGAAATATAGGATCTCCGACTTCAAAAAAATTAAGAACAGGTTTACTATGTAATGGAAATATAGGATCTCCGACTCAGTGGCCTTGTTATATGCTGACTATTAACTATAATATATCATACTACATCAACTTAAACAAGTGCAAGCCTAGATAGCAGCGTGAATACCAACCATTACACAGAAGAGTAGTCTGTACAAAAATTCTGAGGAAATAATATTATGGCATCCCAAAGATAGACTTCTAAGAGTACATGCGTAAACATCTCATGGTTAAAGAGTACAAAACACAGAGATAGCATGAACAAATTTAACAACAGGAGTTACAAGATAATTATGAGCAAGCAAACCACTTCAAAGTCAGGGCTTACTTCCTCACACTCTCTCATCTTTCTCTGAGCCCCATCAAAGTCATAATTGACAAATACACATGCCAAAAACTGTGTGATGGGATCTTCACAAGAGTACTGCTCTTGTTGAATAACTTTTATAAAATCTTTAAATTGAGGTCTCCTGCGTTTGTTGACAATGAATGCAGTAGCCAGGTAACGCAAAAGATGGGGAGCATTCGTTTGAATGGCATTTAAGTACCTGCGAAAACAGGTGTCCATTATTGCTAGAGACAACCGAAAATAAAATTACAAAATCCATTAAAAATAAAGAACAAGAAGCAGTGAACATAAAGAGGGTGATATCATCTGATCATCAAACATGAAGCAACAGTTTAAATGCATTACAAATTGTAATGCAATTCTGCATTACACATAAAAAGTGCATCAAGGTGGGTTTTTTCCATAAAAGTTTTTGGAAACAAGAAGATGGCAGGGACGAATAAGTCTTGGGCCACTGATATCAAACTTTATCCATGCTGAGTTGAGCACACAAATCATAAGGGGCTCATTAACATCTGACAATGGTCCTACATATTCTGCTGAAGAGGTCAAAGACACAGAAACACAAAAGGGAACTCACTCATGAGCACAGAATGGGGCTCAGAAACATCTATTGACTTCTATATCCATGAGTAAATTTTCATTCAACAGACAACTATACAGCATTCATTTCATCAATATACGAGAAGAAGAAGGAAGACAAAGGAACAAATATAAGTGAAACTGAATCCTTTTGTCCAAAGTTTGGGGCTGAATTGACCTTTTAAACAAGAAGGCAAAGTTGAACCAAAAATGACTATAAAATTTTATGGGAGTAATCAATCCCTTTCCTAAAAATAAGTACATTTTTATCGCATAGGAATCATAAAGTACGATGAACCAAAGTAAGACGAACAACAGAAACAAAATCATAAAGTAAGATGGACATAAGTAAGAGGAACAACATAAAACAAACAAGTGATATTCAATGGACGACCTTAAAACATGAAATTCGGTATCACTGTTTAAACCAAAGGGCCACCCGCGAAATGGCACAAAAAACCCCACCAGCTTAAAAGGCAAGCTTCTAGTCTCAAACTATGCCCTAGACGCAAAGAATAATAGAATTGCTCCCATAAGAAAATCACAACTCTTTTCTCTTTGAGAATGCACCCATTTTTTTCCCAATATGCATGAGTAGATCGCTATAACAATGAAGAATCAACCAGTACACTTCTTAAATAAAGCATCTATAGTAGAGCAGAAAGCCCCCGCAGAGGAGTGAAGAGAAGCCCGAACCCAAAGAGGGAGGCATAAGAAATCAAACCTTGCCTTTGGCAAAGATTGACCCCATGATCTCTTGGTTGGCAGAATCTTGAGAAAATCAAAAGCGGCCAACTAGGCTAAAAGCTTAGTTTGTTCTCTCTCCCATACACATTTATGATAAGTTCTCACTAAATGAACCAGAATCATCAATATTCTTTACTTTCTTTATTTCTTTTTGTTCATCGAATCAACAATCAACTTAGCAAAGATCACTATCAACTTCATTTTCCTTGGAGTTCATCCAATTACCTCAGCACCTACGATTGGGAATGATCATGAAAGGAAGACTCCCCACACCACATGCCCTCCAAGATCCCCCCCCCAAAAAAAAAAAAAAAAAAAACACCCAAAAAAAAGGGGATATTTGTCATGCCTAATCCCACAACAAGAAAGCAAAGGTTTGCATCATAGGAGGATTTCGAGGGGTTATGAAGACATAATAAAGCAATGACCCTTTGGCATTGTGTTTTTCTTGTCATCATATGGGTAATATGGTTAGAGAAATAAACTCTAGGATTTTGGAGAATAGAGGAGAATGGAAGGAAGGTTTATGGGATCGCATCTATTTTTTGGCATCGTTGTGGACTTCCATTACGATTTACGAAGGAGTTTAATGGTATTCCACTTTGTTGTATTTTAGCGGATTGAAAGGTCTCATGTGATACATAATTTGATTAGTTGAGATTTGTATTTTTCCACTTCATGATTGGACATTTTGTCCATCCATAGTGCTTTTTGAAATATCATTTTTTATTAGTTTAAATCAATAAAATTGTCTTGTTTCCCATAAAAAAAAAAACCTTCATTAACAGAAAAAAACATGCCCTAGTATTTGAGGCATATTTATAAAATAAAACAAGATGAAAAAATATCATGCCCATTAGCTTCCACAATAGCCCGTCACAGAAATTTAGAAGTCAAAAGATAAGAAATGACATTACCAAAAGCACTACAATATTGGCTCGTAAATACCTCTAAAGTCCCACGAACGGGGTCACACAACTCGAAATGGAGTAGGTTCACAATCCAGATCGCTCAAAGTTCAGAATCCAAATTATAACTCAAATCTCAAATTGATTCATGATTTAAGAAATCTCATATCGAAACTGGAACCACAAATCACAACTCTAACTTGTTATTTTAGTATTCTTTAAACTCATATTTTGACAATATTTATAAAAAATATAAAATAAATATTTACTAACTATGTGTATATGGATATATAATTTCATATAGAAATTACAAAACAAACCACGACCTAAAACAACATACCAACTAAGCCTACTGCACTGTACCACCTATTAGAAGATGTTACCGTACCACGTACCTGTATTCATATCACGTACCAAATCGATCTACGATTCAAGTAATTTAGAGGGATGCCACAAAGAGATGCCCATAAAAAAAAAAGCATCTAAATTCAATAAACTCATCCACGCATCATGGAGAACTTCTCTTCGACATAGTTCTTTATTATTGCAGGCTCCATTCGTAAGGAAATTCGAGCCTGCTCAATCCTATTCTATACACTACATACTTCCTCAACCACCCAAAAAGTAAGACATAATGATTTCATTTCAAATTTGCACAGCCCTACTTTTTACATAGTATAGAATATATACACCAACTGGAAAAAAAAAAAAAGGCTTTCCCTAAGGTCACGTCATCATTCGCACACGGTGTCACCGTCCAATAAAGCATGTCGATCTCACCTGTCATGTCTTTTAACAACCACTCAAGTGGGATTCAAACCCATTTATAGGTTTACTATTAGATAGTGACACCACGTGTCAATGATGAAGTGGTGTCATCGTTACACCCAATATTTACTCCTCACTCAAACCTTGGGGCAACAGTCAACAGAAGGAATTCCATTCCAAAATAAAAAATAGGTACATGCACATGAAACAGAATACATTCAGATGACGTACTTGTCCTGATTAAACAGGTCAATGATTTGTGTTCTGCCATTGTCATGGTTGAAGAAGATGAAGAGACTCCAATGCATTAGCCAAATTCTGTTTTGTACTTGATTCAGAGGAGATGAGAAATTCTGCAACCACATATTATCGTAAGCAATTGTTTTCTTCAAGGAACAAAACTAAACACAAACACAAGTTGGTATAGAACTTAATATGCTGGCAGGGACCTTTGAGTCAATAATTTCCTTCGACCGGTTAAGTTCTTCAAGTGCAATATCCCAGTTTTGCATCAAAATCTCAGCTGCTAGCTTCCCCCATAATGCACTCAAACTCCTTTCACTGTTTGTGCATAAGCCCCAGTATTGATACAGATAATCAGCAGCACCAGAGTAGTTTCCACATTCAAACTGGAATTTGGCGTAATGATATAACGCCTCTATCTGCTCGGGACCAATCTGATAAGTGTACAACAGTTTCATAAGACTTAACATACCCAAAACCCTACATGCCTTGCAATAGTGACAAAATAATCATAGTAATTAACTAAAGACTTTACAGAAACTAAAGACAATAACACTAACTTTTTACTCTCTCTCTCTCTCTCCCCCCCTTTTTTGGTTGGGTGCTTGGGATTAGCTTTTTTGTAAGAGAGCAATCATTCACTTGGACTACAATTTATTATTGCAACTAAAGCGAGAAGAAGTGTTGGAAGGCATGTCGGATAGGATCTATTTTTTAGCATAGTTTTGGGCTTCGGTGACAAAGAAGTTCGAGAATGTCCCTCTCTTTTGTATCACATCAAGTTGGTTAACATTTTGTGGAAGATGGCATGACAGTGGCTTTGTGGCTTGTGTTTATTGTTTTTTTCTTATCTTTGCTCGTCTTAAGGGCTGGACAACTTGTCCATCTCGGATCGACCAATGTAATCTTCATTTTTTGAATTCATATCATTTTGTTTCCTGTCCAAAAAATATTGCAACTAAGGCATTCACATATATAGCAACTGAATTCTCTACAACAACGTCAAGTACTAGTCCTCGTTAATATTCTTCAATTTTATCATTTTACAAAATAATAAAATTTATTTCCTATCAAAAAAATATTGCAAGTAAGCATTCACATATATAGGAACTGAATTCTCTACAACAATGTCAAGTACTAATCCTAGTTAATATTCTTCAATTTTATATTGCTTGCATTGAAAATCAATCTTCCAATAATTACATGCTATGGTAGAATTCGAATTCATACAAGGTAAATTATTAATCAACAAACCTGGTATCGATCATTGAGCATCTGAAGATTGTACGACTTATCAGCCCTCAACTCCTGAACAGCATTTGGGTTCTGCAAGAATGAGATCAATGGTGCAGCCGCCTCCTCCAAAGCCTTCAACCTTGCCACCACTTCAACCCTCCTCTCAATCATATCTACACTCAAAACATGGCTATACGCTTAAATTCCCTAAACATCAAAACCATAGGAAGGCTGACAGGCACACAAACCCTAAATATCTCAAACACTAAAAAATTTAAATAGAATGATACATATAAATAGACACAAAGTCAATATATATTAACCTCAAAATATTCAAAACCCATGATTTGAATATACATGTAACATAACACAAAATATTCAAACCTTAAATGCCTTAAAATCAAAATATAAAGCAAATACACAAAAAAGAGGAAAAGAAACCCCAAAACAACAAAATTCTCAAATCCCCAAAAACCAATAGATCAATGTAAGCATATTAACGTGAGAGTGTATATTCATACGCAGAGGGAGTTGAAGTGGGAAAAAAAAAAGGAACCTTGAGGAACGTCTTCTGTGTGGTAGAGAGACTTGTGGATGTCCATGGCGTAGTCGACCATGTTCGTGTTGTTGAGCAGTTCGATCTTCGCTTTAAGTATGAGTTCGTCTGGGTACAGTGCGCGCTCTTGTAGGAACTCCAGCAGTGGGAATACCAGGTGCCGATCCAGATTGGGAGCGATTCGTGGTGTCAGGTCGTAGTTTGCCATGGCCGCTGCTCTGTGTGTATGTGCGTGTGTTTGAGAGAGAGAGAGAGGAGAAAGCAGTGTTGGTGAGATTTGTGGATCCTGAACGCTACTAGGGTTTTTTGGGTTTTCCTCTATAATCATGTCCGGCCCAACAGTACGAAAAGTAGAGGAAAATTTATGGAGGCCGGTCTTTTTTGTGGATTTATTTACTAATAAGTCCATCAAAAAAAATTATTTAATATTAAGTATATTTTGATTTTTATTGTCTAAAATATCTTTAATAGTTATATTTAATTAATATAAATTTAAAAACTAATAACTTTTAAATTTTAAGAATTTGACTAACATTAAGATCTTCTATCTCATATATATATATACTAGTTATTGCCCCTTAAGACACTATTACAAAAAAAGTTATACTTAAAAACGATGTATATCACAAAATATCAATCAATATAGACCTACTATATTAAAAAAATTGATAAAATAAAACCAATAAATATGACCCTTAGATAATATCAATTTGCATACGCAATTTGTATAATCAAAAAAATAAATAGTGCAAATTTTTATTTAAAAAAATGACTCACGTCACGGTCTTTCATAATATAAACCTCTCCAAAATGCTCTTCCATTCTATGGGATAATTCGCAAAACTCTGTTTTTCATGGAGTATTGAATAGAGTACCAAGAATATTTTACTTTTTTATTTTTTGGTATATTTTACTTGACTTAAAAAATTAGAATAAGTGAGACTTATTTACTTATTATCTAAGGGCATCTCCAACCCTTACTCAAATTTAGATTCAAAATTAAATTGGAGTAAAAAAATCTTAAAAACTTACTTCAACCCTTGACTCAAACTTATATCAAATCAAGAAAACTCATTTTTTTAGTCAAATCTTTACTCAATTATTTAATGATAAGATTTTACTATCTTTTAAAGATCCAATGATCATCTTTATTTTCTTTTAAATTTTGGTTTTTCTTCATTTAAATTTGGATCTCTCATTCTTTAAATTTGAGTTTGTCTATTGGAGTCTTTTATATCAAATCAAGCTTTTTATTCAAATATTAATTTAAATTTGAGTAAAAATTTGAGTGATGATCAAAGATGCTCTAACACTCAATAGTTCTCAAACTCAAGTTATTATATCTCATTCTCTTTGTATTAAAAAATTAAAATTCTATAATGCTCGCATTAATCTAGAAATTAAAGTTACATAATACAAAAAAAAAAATCATTCACTCACTCGATGAAATTATAGATGAAAAAAAAATAGTTTTCATGAAATGCTAAAATCAAATGTTTCACTACAATTCATCAGTAATGAATTTAAAAATCATCACTGTATAATCCAAAAGACAAATATTCAAATACTAAAAAAAATATATCAGTTATCATAGAAATAGTGAATAAATTAAGGTATACATAATATGGGGAAGATATGTGTTTGATTTGGTGGGAGATTTGCCTCTAAATTAATGGGTGAATATGAAAGTTAGAGGCCCGTGAATGGAATGTGTAAATGAAAGAGCATTAATTTGGGCAATTAAAAATAGAAGGTGTCTTAAGCGGGAAAATAAAATTTGTCTGTCAATCTAATCCGTTGAATCAATATTTTTGAGTTAATCTGAGCCGCAAAAAATTAGAGATAAGATAGACATTTGGATATAACTTATCTTTTGTTCAGAATTGATCTGAGCCGCGAAAAGCTCAAGATAAATTTTAGGATTCAAACTCAGTTATATTTTATTACATAAATATTCATATATAGAATATGACTATTTATTTCTCTTTCTAATATAAAAAATAGTAACATTTAAACATAAAAAACACTACCATTTAAACACAAAAAAAATAATAATAAAATTCAAAAATGAAAAATAGTAATATTGAATATTAATATTTAAAAAAATAACAGTAGTAATATGGTGAACAAAAAAAAGTAACATTCAATATTAACAGTAACATCCTTATAAAAAAGATAGTAGTATGCTCAACAAAAAATAGTAACATGAAAAACATTAGTAACATACATAACAAAAAAATAGTGACATAGAAAATTAAACAAAATTGGGAATCAAACTAATAAATGCATTATTTATTTACACACAAAGAGGCACCAATTTTGACTGATTTGGGGACTTGTAGCTATTGTGTGTTCAATGCGTGAATGTTCTTCTCGTGAATTAGACAATTCATCGAAATTAGGGGTCAATGAAGAAGTCCAAGAAAAACTAGAGAGATTGAAGAGTAATATGAGAGAGAGAGGTGGGTACGATTTGAAATATTTGTTGGCTGAATTCAATGAGTATTTGACAGAAAAAAAAAAAAATTACCAATGTTCTTGGGTGGTATAATCTTTGAGATCGGCCAATAAGTTTTCATTGCAGGCCATGGACTTGAGCCATGTGGCATGGTGGCTCTATTGCTTAGATTGGAGGGATTTGAGCACAGTCGTTGTGGCCGTAAACATTTTGATAACGATGAATTTAAAGGTTTTTGAGTTGGGTTTATGGGTTTGCAAAGGGACAACAAATCTGATTTTCTTGATGGTGTTTCGACGTGTGAGAGAGAGAGAGAGAGAGAGAGAGAGAGAGAGAGAATGGCCTAATTGAGTACTATTTGAATTTGAATTTTAAATTTATGGAAAAAAATATTGGCATATCTCAATTATCAGTAAATTAAGGATTTGAATTTGAATTTTAAAATGATGGAAAAAAAAATTATTGGCATATTTTCATTAACAATAAATTAAGGGGTAACAATTTCTCAGTTAGAAAATTAATTTAAACAGCTTTTAAGAAATGGTATTTTGGAGTTTTAAAAAAATGGTGGACTTAACTACTTATTAGTAAGATAAAAATTGGATTTATCCCCAAATACGTTTCCTTCACGGACTAAAGTCATTATACGTTCCTTAAGGAGAACTCAGCCCCAATTTCACAAAAATAAAACTTGGGCTCTAGACCCCAAGTTTTTAGATGGTCTCATAATTTTAGATATATTATTGGCCCACAAAAATATTTAAATTCATTAAATTTTAAGCTCTAGAAAAAGCCCCAAAAAATTAAGTAAAAATTGGAACAAAGTATAATATTGGGATCTCTTTTGTTAATAGATCCAAATGCAATATTTTTGGGTTATTGAGAACAAATGTTATGTACTTTTTTGTAAGTAGGTTCAATAGTCTATTTTTTTAAAAAACAAATTCTATTATGTCCCCTAGTGTATCATGTACGCCTCTCTTTCTCTCTCTCTATCTCTCTCACACAAAGCTACTCCAATGAATCCAGTCAAATCGAGAATTTTTTCCCAGCAGTCCTAACACTTTCTCCCCCTTTTCTCGCAACCCTAGCAACGGGCAAACAATGGAGATTGATGTTGAATGGTTATTGAACTAGACCCCTAACATTTTTATTGAATAGTTTTAGATGTTCAGCTTCAACAAGGTGGAGATTTTTATTGGATCTCATAGTCGGTTAGAGATTCTTCAGTAAAACATTTTTCTACAAAAGATGCAAGTAGAAGAGAAAGGTTTATAACATAATTTGTAGCTTCACCCCAAATGTTGGCCCAACAATCCCAAATCCTTCACTACCACTACTCTCCCTTATTGGCCTCCACACCCCTAGTCACCATCATCGACGCCAGCCACCACCACTTTCTTCCTCCACAGTTCTTTCCCTTTCCAGCCATCACCACTCTATGCTTTAGGCCTATCACCTTCCGTAGCACCTCCACTCCCAGCCACACGAGCATGTAAGGTTTTCAATAAAATGCAATTAAATCTTGAAGACCTTGGTGAGAGAAAATGCTCATGGTGTTTTGTCCTTTATTAATTGGTCTTTTTCTATTTTAGTTGGTATTCGATTACTCACATATCACTTTTTTGTTGGGTCAATACTTTGTATGTCTTGTTTTTGCATTATGTCATCAATGAAATTGGATTTTTGTCTTGTTTTTCATGGGTTTTAGGTGTGTTTTGGGTTTGTTATTTGTGGATTTTATGGTCTACATTAGGTTGGTACTCTTAGGAGATCCCAAACTAGAAGATATCATAATAGTCTTAAACAATTTTAAAAAAAAAAAGTTATTGTGATTGTTTGGTTGTTACTGTGATCTTGTGGCTATTTAATTCACGTTACTGTCTACCTTCATAAATTTTTGATAGTGATTGTGGCAGTTATTGTAATCGTGTAATTGTCTAATTCACGTTACTGTCTAGTTTTATAGAATTTTGACAATAACGATGGGCAATGACAATAAAAATTCACATTATTGTCTAGTTCTGTAAATTTTGTACGGTTAAATTAGATGTTACTGCCTCAATATCACTGTCACATTTTACTTTTACTATTTGGCTGCTATTGTTACTATATCGCTATTATTGTTACTGTCTCATTGTTATTATTCATTTTGTAATATATTTATTTATGTTAAGGATAAATTAGTCTTTATGCCTTTAATTATCTTTTAAGCCCCAAAAAAAGTACTCGCATGAACTAATTGTTCTAAAAGTCCACAACTATGGACCGACCTCCAATTAACCCTAAAATTAAGTCCAATAAAACATTTTATGTGAAAATTGAAAACGAGGATAATATGGCAATCTATTTTGCTAAAAATTAGGATTAATTGCACTGGAGGTCCTCAAAGTATGAAGTTTGTCTCATTTTGGTTCTAAATATTTCAATTGCATCATTTTAGTCCCTGAATTATTGAATATATTTCTATGTGGTCTCTCAAGTAGATATCATCTAGATTGCTAACAATTTTTTATTATAAATTTATCACGTAATACCTAAATATGAGTAAAAAAATAATTTGAATAATTCTTGACCAAATTTTTATCCAAATTTTGGTTAAAAAATTATCCAAATTACACGGTTTTGATCATAAACTATTCAAATTTGGTCAAGAGCTACTCATATTACACATTTTTGGTCAAAGGCTAACCAAATTTTGATTAAGAGCTACCCAAAGTATTTTTTACCCATATTTAGGTATCACTTGA